GGCATAAGGCTTGCCTGAGACTTCATTCTCTGCAAGTGGCTATTATTTGCAAAAAAAGAAAGAAAGAAAGAAAGAAAGAAAGAAAGAAAGAAAGAAAGAAAGAAAGAAAGAAAGAAAGAAAGAAAGAGGGGGGGGGCATGTGTGCAAAGATAAGACAAGATGTCAAAATATCCCAAGAACCTTCACAGGAACTTTGAAGCTTTCCACCACTCTTTTTGCTGTATGCCTAACTAGACTTATAACATTTCACAAGTCTGCTTTCTTTCTAGTCCACCATGTTCAGTTTCGATATCCCTCTCGTTCTATTGCCCAGTAAATTAGATAAGAGGAAGAAGGGTCGCTCAACTTTTATTTTGTAATTCAAACTGAATCTCTGGAACAGAGTGAGCCTGAGGAGGTCAAAACAGTCAAAGCTGTGACCATGACTAGCTAATAGAAGACCTGCCCTTGATCAAGAGTCGCTTGATAGCTAACTAGATGGCCTATAAATTTAATAAAGAAAGAAATGCCCCTTTTATGTGCAACACACATAATAAAAGGGCAGACCTTTCTCCATGCTATCACAACCTCCATCCTGACTTCTTTTATTCTCCATGCAATTACTCTTCGACCAGAATATTTACCTGATTAATGTCTTGGAACAACAATGTGGATATGTACTGTGTGTACACACACACACACACACACATGTATATATGTGTATATATGTGTATACATATATATATATATATATACATATATATATATATATATATATATATATATATATATATATATATTCTGAGGTTTTCGCGGGTATTTTTATGTAGGTCTTTGGTTGTTCGGGTTTTCTCCCGCGTAAAATTGGAAGTGTCTTGGCGACGTTTCGACGAAGTCCCATTCGTCATCTTCAGGCTGGTGCTTTCAGCTTCATGCTTTGAGCAGCAATTATATATATATTTCTTTTTCTGACAAAGAATTAAAGAATTAAATTGGGAGACTAAGATGGCCATTTCGAGCTCATTCTGCTCTCTTCAGTTAGCCACACCCTTTATGGGATTCGAACCTGGGTAGAGATTGTAAAAAGTAAAACTGCAGTATAGCAGTTAAAAAAAATGTCAAGGTGTAATCAATTAGACATATATATGTCTTTGGTTGTTCGGGTTTTCTCCCACGTAAAATTGGAAGTGTCTTGGTGACGTTTCGACGAAGTCCCATTCGTTACCTTCAGGCTGGTGTTTTCAGCTTCGTGCTTCGAGGAGCATGAAGCTGAAAACACCAGCCTGAAGATGATGAATGGGACTTTGTCGAAACGTCGCCAAGACACTTCCAATTTTACGTGGGAGAAAACCCGAACAACCAAAGACCTACATACAAACACCCGCGAAAACCTCAGAAAACATACACACATACACACACACACACACACACACATACACACATGATGCATTTTGTTTTTCTCTTTTGTAGGTTTAAAATGAGTAGCCCATAAAGGCTGACACTTATCAGCAAGATCATGGAATTAACCCAGTTAGAACAATTAACCAGTGGAACAACCTGCCTCCAGAAGTGGTGAATGCTTCAACACTGGAAGTCTTTAAGAAGAGACTGGACAGCCATTTGTCTGAAATGGTATAGGATTTCCTGCCTGAGCAGGGGGTTGGGCTAGATGACCTCCAAGGTCCCTTCCAACTTTACTATTATTATTATTATTATTAATTATTTGTTTGCTTATTTTCTGAACTAATATATGTCAACAACCAAATACATGTACCAAGCGAGCCCCAAATGGCTAAGACAAGACTGCTTTATTTACTATTCTACCAATGATTTGGTCCATTCATATGTTTAATTGAACCAGTATCAATGGGAAACACACCCTTTCCCAATCAACATCACCAGGAAAACTGCAATGAACAGACCTATTCATCTGTTGGAAAAGAGCATGGCTTGTTCCATTGAGGCTAAATAGTAGTGAAATCATTGTGTGTCTCCAGATGATACAGGGGCAAAAGGATAGCTAAGTTAATAACATTTAAATCTAAGTTAATAACTTTTAAGAAAAAACTGGACAGCCACCTGTCTGAAATGGTATAGCACAGCTATGTTGACTTGGGAATTCTGGGAGTTGAAGTCCATGAGTCATAAAAGAGCCGAGGTTGCCTATCCCTGGTATAGTGTCTCCCGCCTGAGTAGGGGTTGGACTAAAAGACCTCCAAGGTCCCTTACAGCTCTATTCTAAATGATTAAAACAGCCATCAGCATCCTTATGCAGAACTGTACTGATTGCAACATCACTGGTCTCTATTAACGCTGCTGACACTATATGTATGCATAACATAGTGTTGATCTAGATCAGTATTTCTCAACTCTGGCACCTTTAAAATGTGTGGACTTCAACTCCCAGAATTCTCCAAAATTGCCAAGTTTGAGAAACACTGAGCCAGCTACTTCTTGCTCTACCTACTCAAAACTTTTATTGTTCTCTATATTGTCCTTTTCCATTAGTACTGACAGTTGCTTATTTGGTTCTGCCTCTTCTCTCCAAGAGCACAGGGCTCTTTTTTGTTCTATTTTTGAAGTTCCATATTCTTTCATTCCTCTTTCCTCCAATCTTTCTTTTAACTACTCAACCCTTCTCCCTTCACTTTAGGGTAAAGCAACAGGAGTACATGCTTTAATGTTGACTTGAAAATAAATGTCCTAGTTATCGAATGAGCAGTAGAGTGAGCTTCTTATTGTCAGTATTTGGATTAAAAGTTCAGAATTCAGGGGAAAATCTATGCTGATTCTTTATTCCAGAGTCCATCAAACCATTCATCTGGATTCTTTATCATACTTTGCTAAACTCTGCCACCCTTTGCTAAACTCTCCATTGATTTAACATTCTTGCTGTATTTGTACAATGTATGTCTATGGAGATTCTCAATCATCCAGATCATGGTTGTCCTAAAGGTGCTTTTTCTAAAAGGCAGTTGGACTTTCTTGGTTTTTTCCTTTTTCCTTTTTTTTTTTCCTTTGAGAAGCGAAGCATTTTCGAAGAAAAAGAAAATCAAGAAAGTCCAGTTGCCTTTTGAAAAAGCACCTTTGGGAGAACCATGACCTGGATGTCCACAGACATCAAACACTAATAGTGTCAATGAATAAATTCTACCATGATCCAATGGTAAAGCTATTAAATTTAAACATTTTGCATTGGTCACACAAATCTCTAGGGAACTTCTGAAAAACTAGCTAGAAATACCTATGGAGCTCTGGATTGAAGACCAAAAGAGCAGCTCGATAAATTCTTTGGAAAGAGCTTCAGAGCAAGAAGAAGCTACAGAAGTTATGAAGAAGACAGATCTCAAAACTAAGTTGCCTGCTTGCCTACCTGCTATGACACATTAAGTATTATATGGATGATCCCTTTAGTTGAAAAAAGTGGAAACCACTTAACTTTTGATGAAGACAGTTATTATTTTGTTCTTTATGTTTATAAAGTTCATACCCCATTAATATAGAATAAAACTCAGCTAAATTTCATTATGTCATTCTCAATTTAACCCCAGAGAAATCCCTAATAGATTGATTTGATAGAGAATTTCATTTTGTCACACACACACAGAGAGAGAGAGCATTTTCATAAGAATATTACAAAAAAAGAATATAACACATTACACCAACTAAAGTTGATTCCTGGGCTGTTAGCAGGAAATTCTCATCTAAAATTTCAATTTTCTGTTTTGTTTTTGGAAGCCAATTTATTAAAAGTTTACTAAAACAAATGGACAGATTATATAATTTATGGAGGCTTGCATTTTAAGCTTTATTAAGCATCAGAAGTTTATGTCATTGGAGAATAGGCTCAGCTTAAGAGCCAGTTCAACACACTTGGGCTTTCATTTATGTGCTCGATTGTCTAAGAAAGCAGCTGTTCAAACTGTAATATATTTCTTTCTGAAACTACAGAGAAAAAAAAATCCAACAGACCAATTTTCTCAGAGAAAGATTGTTCTTGCATTTTCAGCCAAAGATTGATCAAATATTAAAGTGGGGTTTGAAGTTTTATCCCTTTACAATTTTCAGCAGAACAAATCACATAGAAATGGTTAATTTTGTTAATGAAATGTGCCAGCAAGGACAAGCTGCACAATGGTTTAAGGTTTAATACAAGTCATATATCTTCTTCAGATTAAGGACAAAATGTAAGTAGTTCTGCAGTATTTCTTTTTCAGATTCTAAATGGAAAATCGGACATGCTAACGCAATGGGTTTTAATAAGTGGCTGTGGAAACCATTCAAAAGAGGTAATTCAAAAAGTATTTTATGGGTGAAACATCTCTCCTCAAATTGTTACTTGTTAATTAGGGTTATATCCCATCTATCTTCAAAACAGCTGTCTCCTGTAAGTTTCCCCTTTAACAATCTTATTTGATTTCTTTATTTTATTTATTAAACAAATTATATAGCCATTCAACTCACACATAGATAATGGGTTAAGTTTCTATGGATGACGATGGACTTCAGCATGAATCTTTCTGAATCAAACCTGAAACCTCAACTACAGGTAGTCCTCGATTTACGATCACAATTTATGGTGTTAAGTGAGACATTTGTTAAATGAGTTTTGCTCCATTTTACAACCTTTCTTGCCATAGTTAAGTGAATCATTGCAGCTGTTAAGTTAGTACAACAGTTCTTGAGTGAATAAAGCTCCCCCCTTGAATTTGCTTGCCAGAGGCTGCAAAAGGGGATCACATGACTCTGAGACACTACAACCGCCATAAATATGAGTCAATTGTCAAGCATCTGAATTTTGATCATGTGATCATGGGGATGCTACAATGGGTGTAAGTGTGAAAAATGGTCATAAGTCATTTTTTCAGTGCCGTTGTAACTTTGTATGATCAGTAAATGAACTGTTGTAAATCAAGGACTGCCTGCACTACACCATACTGGTTTTCCCAAATTGTATAAAACAATTCTATCATTTAGATGTGAATAATTGCTTTGAAACTCTGAAAGTTTTTGAAAAGAAGGATACTCCATCTATTTATTTATACGTTGCTCCATCCAACCAGGCTCAATGAGGCTTATCAAAAATAAATATTCAGCATTAATTTAAAAAAAAAACATCATAAACAACGGCAAAACAAAACACTCTGAACACCCAGGCACAACATCCTATCTCACAGCAGGAGAAGTCATGAAAAGCGGTTTCGGCAGAGAATGTTCACCGTTACAAATAATGTCAAGTTATGCACCCACAATGCAACATTAATAACCTGCCTAGCAAGCATATTGTTATTGCCATTTCATGGCACACATATTTAATCTTTGCCATGCTGCCATGGTGATTCCACAACTTTCCAGAACCGATGATGTCATAAAGACGTCCCTTGGAGACTTCCGTTTACTATTATTATAAAGACTATAGTACCTTAGAAATGCCATTACGCTGTCAGTGGGCTAGAACATTTGCTTTTCTAGGACTGTAGAATATAAGTCCTGACCCAAAATCAGGATATTTCTTTGACTCACCATTGGGTTGTTTTTGATTTTTTGACTCTTTATCTTGGGGCATGAGTGAAGAGAGGGTTGTACATAGTACAAGCAGGCTGGAAGAAGACACAGATGACGTTGGAGAGGAGCAGTCCACTGGGTGTTTCCAAGGTCCAGGCTTGTGTTGTTGTATTCCTACAAGGTAAAAAAAAAAAAAAAAAAGATTGCTCTTTCACATACCAGCTGATTAAATGATTCCAGATGGAAGGTTGCTAACGTTATCCAATAACAGGCCTTCAACAACTATTTTGTCTTTACCTACTTAACAGATGTTCTGCCAGCATGAAACATGGTGGGAGAAATAGAAAGGTGGAAATGAAGATTAAGTCATCGGTTCCCATTAGAAGAACCCATGAATAAAGGCTCAATACTAGGAAATACAAATCTCATCTAGAAGCATTCAAAATTTAGAGAGGGCCCTTCCTGTAGAAGCAAAGCTTAAGAAAGGAGACACATGAATGTAGCAATCTACTACTGTTAAGCAGTTTCCAACATGTAATTAGGCATACTGACTGAGGTCATTTGCTAAACTGTGGAAACATTAGGAGAGAAGGTTGAGGAAAAGAAGTAAAATTATTATTAACAGCTGTCATCACCGCTACTTTCAAATCCTTAATTCCTGCTTTTTATCTCTGCAGGCGGATGTCTCTACCAGGGAGGCGACCCAAAGAGAGAAAGGGAAAAAATGGTAAAAAGAACGCTAATCTCCCATCTCTTGATGATATCATGTTTCAAGAAGGACAGCAGAATAGAGACCGAGAAAGTTGGAGCATGGCTTCTGTAGGTGACCTGGGTAGCTTACAAATAGAGAACCTCAAACCAGCTCCAATCCACGATGACAATGCTCAAGAACCCCATAGACCTGTGCTTTTAAGTGACATCTTCTTGGAAGATAAGAAAGGACATGATGACAAAGCAAATGCCAACGTACAGGCCAAAGCTTGTGAACAGAAAGAGGCATTAGATGATTTGAAAATACCACTTCTGGAAACAGGACGTGCAAATTCAGTGAATGAGATATCAGAGGTGAAGGGCCACCCAGTTGTGTCAGTCAAAGAAAACAGGCAATCTGGAAAACTTGATCTGAATGTGTTGATTAAGGAAGTAGCCTACAAAAAAGAACACAATGAAGGGGGTGACCACATGAATCTAGTACTGCAAGTCATGCCTTGTAAGAAGGAAATGAACCAGGGCCACCAAGATATACCACTTGAAGAGCTGCAGAAATCTAGAGAACTAGAACTTGACAGCACATTGACGATCAAGGAAAAGATACTTCTAGACCAAAGCACCAGCACAGATCCTGAAAGTGTTACTTCCTTACAGGAATTGCTCAATCAATCCTCTGTATTATACAATGAGGAAGAAAAGTTTTTAGAGCAACAAGAACTTGCCGTGGGTGCTGCTCATAATAGGGAGAAACCAATCATCTCAAGTAAATTGAATTCTTCATCTGAGGGAGATGCATACAGTGAGGACCAGATCTGTCAAAATGAGGCACAGAAACCCATAGAACTAAAATACCCAGATATTTTATTCACCGTGTCTGAAAGCCATGAGGAGGAAAGGGCAGGAGAACAGCAACATCTACACCCTGTGGCAGAAGCTTCCCTCAACCATCTAGAGCACATGCTTGAGTGGAACGACCAGTCTCCTGTTATACCACAAGGCATTAATATTCCATGTCAGAGTACATCCTCTGAAAACTTCCAGAAAGAAATACAAGCTGCCAGAAGGTCAACATCAAATATTGCTTTCATCAAGGTAGACGACCATCAGTATGTACCCTACAACCTTTATGAACAAACCACAGCACCAGAAAGCATGATATTGCCTCTGAATGCAACCAGTACGACAAATCTTCAAATGTTAGATAATATAAATTCTTCGCCTGAGGTTGCTGCTATCCACATTACAGAGCAGAAACACCCAGAGACTCAGGAACATATTTTACTGGAACAAATTAACCCTTATGATCAGAGTAAAGAAAAAGAACAGCACAGTGAGGTAGAAGATGCACATTTTGGATCTAAGGCCACTGAAGAACAGCAGAACCAAGAACCTATTGTTTTTGAAGACTTCAGCAAACCCATTGGCAATATCAGGTTCGAGAAAGGAGAGCAAAGAAAGCTAGACTGTGTCAATTCTGGGTCTGAGGGCACTTATGACAAGGAGGAGCAAGATTGCCAGGACAATCCTTGCACTGAAGTGCAACAGCTTCTAATAGTTTCGAAACTCACCTCTTTTCCTTTGAATAGCTCTGAGGAACCATGTGAAAAGAAGGACAGCACAATAATCAGCAATCAGGACATTCATTTTCTGCATGAAAACCCAGAAGAACAGGATGGACAGTGCATAATGTCTGTAGGTGCCTCCTCAGATGAGAAAGAAGCAACACTAGAACCAAAAGGGGAATGGCTCACAATGCCCTTGCCATTGGAAGGTGACAAAGAAGATCAACAATCACTAGAACAAAGGCATATTCCAGAGGGAATGTCTATACCTCACGAGGGGCAGCAGGATAAGGAAGAGCTGAACATGAACATAAGCTGTGAGAAACAACAAAGGAAAGAAAAGGAAGATCTGTCACATATCACTTTCTCAGGTGATGCTGTACAGGATGAGGGACTTATGTAAGGAAGCCATTTCTTCTGAGGCAAAATCCTCAAAATAGCTACTTTCCTTGCCTCAAAACTATTTCTACTGAAATATGAAAACTGAAAAGAGATAGCATTGCTTTTTTATTTTGTACAAAGGTATAGTTACATACAGGGATAGACAGTATACTAGGCTAGACTATAGTTATTTGTTAAGACCTTTGATTTTGGAGTAAACCTTGTTAAATATTACTAGTGAAGTGCTTGAAAACATTGGATGGAGAGTTTTCCACATTCAGCATAAAGTCTTTTCTTAAGGAGTGTAGTTTTATCTAAGAATACATGATTTCATCTGTAGAATAATAGGTGCCTATTACTTAATTCCAATGTGGAAGCCACACAGGTGCAAAAATAAAGTTTGATGACAAATATGATGCTGGAAAATAGTGGCTTTTCCAGAAATTGTATGCATCATCATCATTCTAATTGTGTATGCATTATGTAATTTTATTTCTTTACTGTGGAAAGAAACCATACCAACAATGAAAGCATGGAAAAGGGACACAGCCATCTTTAATTTTTTCCTATTAACCAGTTGGAGGAGGGAAGGTGAAAACATGCTGACCATTTCCCAGCATTACTAAAACAGTACTTCTGGTTAGTGGGTGGAAGGCAGTGGCCAGCATTTTGTTGCCAGTCTGTTGGATGGACTTTGGGAAGATCTCTGTCCTTGTAAACGTCAAGTATAAGCAATGTAAACTTTTCAATTTTCAACATCATACAATGTGTTTATTGGTGTCATTTTAGTTATCGTGGCAGCCATATTTGCCAAAAGTAAATTTCAGACAAGATTTTTTTTAAAAGGCCATACAAAAATGTATATTCAAATAAGACATGAAACCTTGGGGGCCCTTCTTTTTGCAAGCTGTGGCAACTTACATTTCCTTTCTCTCTTCCCTCCTATGATCTATTATTAAAATGCATGGCATAAATTTGCTTATTAAACAGCATGGAGCAGCTTTTTGTTGTTGTTGCTTTGGTGTTATTTGTTTTTGTGCATAATACCAGACATAAAAACATCTAGAATAAAACAAAAAAAGAAGAGAAAGAAATGTCAAAAACATGTAACACCTAAGAAATAGTGTTCCACCCTCAACTCAGGACTAACCTTTAATCTACAAATAGCTTCACAACACAGGAAAGGAAATTAAAAATTAGGATACGATTGGGACTGGACATCTTTGTTTTGTTCTCAATTTCAGAAGCTGTCTGTCTCTATTATACAACAAGGCATACTTGCTTCTGCATCACTAATTCCATCAAGTTTGCTTTCTCTTGTGATCTTCTGTCTCTGTCTCTGTCTCTGTCTCTGTCTCTCTCTCATATCTCTCATCTGCTATCTATTATCTACCTATTTTTTAAGACCCGTAAGGGCAAGAGAAACCACAGGCTGAAAACCTTACCAGGACACATGCAATCTCAAAGATCTACCTCTACCTCTACGTTTCTTTCTTTCTGTTTCTCTTTCTCCTTGTCCTCTCCTCTCCAAGATACAGACAATCTTCAAAGATGTTACTTATGGCAACCACGCACACAGATCCATGAGGTTTTCTAGGTAACAGTTCAAAAATCACTTGCCCTTGCTTTCTTCTTCCTAGGGCTGAGAGAGAGGGACCGACCCATGGTTATCCAGGTGGCTTATGCACCAGAAGCAGAACTAATCTGGCTCCTTAACTGCTAAACCAAACTAGCATTCATATACATATATATCAACCATATTATTTTGTTTCAACATAAGCAGTGATATGTGAAAGCTAAAGAAAAAGTAAGAAAAATGAAGCCTAAGGCCTGAGATAAGAAAAAGAAACAGAAATGTAGACAAAACTGTTTTACATCAACATAACGCACTATATTTCTTCATACCTTCATCTTCAGCATTCAGACTCGAATTTAACTCCCAGCATTCCCGGATGGCTCAAGAATTCTGGGAGTTGAAGTTCACAGGTCGTAAAGAAGCCATAGTTGCCCAATCCTGGTTTATAGAATCAAAACATTTCTCTATACTTCTTTTATACTAGTCACTTATGTTTTCATTCATTCATTCATTCATTCATTCTTGCCTATCTCTTTTTTACCATGCACACTTCTTAAGAACTCCATTCCCATGGCAATCAACTCATTTTTATATGTCTCCTGACCTGTCTAGTTCTCACTTCCATATAATAAAGCAGCTACAAACATACCATTATGTTCTCTTTCATTTATGTTGGGAGATTAATCTGTGAATCACCATTTCTTTTTTTTTTTTTTTTTTGCTGTCATTCCTGTTTTATTATGGTTTCTTTCCCTTTCTTTTTCTTCCATGTCCACTTCCCATTATTAATTCTTGACACTTAAAAAAAAAGTTTATTTGACATTCAGAACCTCTCATCACCCTTGTATTCTTTGTTCTTTTATCATAAGTATGCTTTCATTTTCATATTCCTTTTCCAAGTGTATGCAGAAATGGAGGTATTATTTATCCATAAGTTTGAATCAAAGCATTTTCTAAGCAACCACTTTCCAAAATTCACCTTTCTCATTTATTTCTGGGTCTCCAAATGGACCAGTTCCATTTTCTGTACTCTCCCAATTTGTTCCCTCCCATTCTTTTATGTTCTTAAAACTTGTTACAGGTAATCCTTGACTTAAAACGGTTTAATGACTATTCAAAGTTACAGCGGCACTGAAAAACTGATTTATGGCCATTTTCCATATGATTATTGCAGCATTCCCCATGGTCATGTGATCAAAATTTGGACACTTGGCAAGTGACACCTATTTGTGATGGTTTGCAGTCTCCCGGGGTCATGTGATTGCCTTTTGTGACTTTCTGACAAACAAAGTCAATGGGGAAGCCACATTCACTTAACAAATGTGTTACTAACTTAACAAATGCAGTGATTCACTTAACAACTATGGCAAGAAAGGTTGTAAAATGGGACAAAACTCACTTAACAACTATCTTTCTTAGCAACAAAAATGTTGGCCTCAATAGTGATGGTAAATCAAGGACAGCCTCATAACTGATCACTCTGTTGTTGTGGGGATGCTGACTTGAACTTGATGCTGATGAATGATGGAAAGAACAACTGCAGGGGCAGAAAATAAGGAGAAGCTTCATCTAATCCTAATCCCTTCCAGCAAGATAAAACTAGGAATTAAAATTGTTCTGCTTTACCACAATTTGCAACCAACCAGTCTGTGCTGTCCCACTCACTCACACTGTGATTTAGTGAGTTTATTAATATTCCCCAGCAATTCTCTTCACCCAAAATCCAGAACTGTCCCAATTAAATCCAGCCACAAACAGAGCATTGCTAATCCACAGAGAAATTACCAATGAGTTTACAAGGCACTTGAAAGTTTCCCAATCATAATAAACCCACCAGATAGAATTAATCCATAATACAAGAGGGTTCAAGAGGCAAAAAAAGTCCAGAGTCACAAAGCATGATCCAAATCAAGGCACGGAGTCAATCTAAAGTGAGGCAAGAATCACAACAACCAGAAAACACAAAGCTAGGAAAGGAACACATTGTTCCCAGCATCACTTCCATCTGTCTGTTGTGTTAAATAGCCAGCTTCTGGTGCAGCCTATCAAGAAGGGCTAGGCTTTCTTCTCATAAGTAATCTGGCTGACCTTCTTTGCTCCTGCCTTTTCTCTGCCCTACATGTTCTTGGATCACTAGAAGGCAGTTCCTTTTCCTCATCACTGACTGGCTGCAGCTGCCTGCTTTCCCATCTTAAAACCTCAGGGCTGTCTTGCTACAGCTATGCTTAGACAGCTGCTTGGAGCCATTGACCAACTCCTCTCCAGACGTGCTTGGAACTGGTTCATCTTCTTCCAAGCTGACTTCTGTAGAGGTATCTGGGGAAGTGTTCGGGGAGGTCATCACACAGTCAATCGCTCAATCAATTGAAAACGGTAAAAAGAAACAATAGAAATAGCCAAAAGACTATAACGCAAAACATGGTTCATATATGGAAGTAATGAATGGTTCTGTAACATCTCATTCTAAAATGACTTTCAATTGTACTGGAAAACACATACGCTATTTGAGCCTAATGTGACATTTTATAAGATTTTACATCATTGTGGGATTAAATGTTTTCAATTTACTCAGAGAGCAGAGGTATTTAATGCAGATCTTCTGCAGAACTCATTCATAGTGATACAAAATGCAAAAATCAATAATAAGGGAGACTAATATACTCCCTAGCTTTTCACACTGTGACACATCTCCTTAAACAACTCATTAAAACAGTGCTGAACCTTACTACAAGTAACTAAAAAGATATTACATCAAAATGGAAAAGTTACAATCATCTCTCAAGCTGACTGTCCATTATTACAATCCAGCTTTTATAACAGAAAAGTATTATTTTCTTTTCCAATAAGCGTCAGAAAAAAAACACATTCTGTGTCAGTAGCTCTATTCACATATAACACTAAGCTACCCTAAACCACAGTTTGTCAAACCCTAATTGCTTGATTTGTACAAAACGTTAAATCATAATGGGCAAGTTCGCACATCATTTTAAGCCAAAAAGAAACAACTCAGCTACAGTACAGCACAAACTTTACACCCAGATAATCAGATAAAGTTGGCAAGATACAATGAAGGCCAGCCCAAAATCCATATATTAAGGGTTTATTGACTGATTATGTGCAATCAAGTTGTTTTTTACTCCTAGCGACTAAATAGATAGATAGATAATGGCACAGGATTGATAGATTCATGGCAATAGAAATATAATTGGATTACATAATAAACCATAGTCTGGTTCAGTTTGCTGTACTGGCCAGATCATGAATAAAGAGGAAGTCATAGCCACAATTTGCCACCAGGGCTGTGCCATTGGGAATTTACATTCATAATGATAGAAAACAAAGATGAAGGGAGGACTTCCGGTTTTGCGTCACGGTGAGAAAGGATGTAGGAAGGCAGAGCTCTGCCTTCCGCACCCGATTTTGGCCTGCTGGGGGCCCTGAAAAGGGCCTAAAGTCTTCCCAAAGAGGTGGTGAAGAAGGAGGGGTGCCTTGTCGATCATGGAGAGACAGCGGTCTCTCTGTTCAATCCAAGGAAAGCCCTCTAAACCGGCAGGGGAAAGACCGGCCACACTTCTGCGGCTGGTCATTAGCTGCTGACAACCAAAGAACAAAACCTTTAATTAGCACACCGTAAACAGCATGTTCGGACTGGGTAAGAATATTGATCATTTCTTTACTATTTTACAACTGAATTTCCTGGGAAAGGCTCCCCAAAATCTTAAAACCTCCAGATGTGAACAGAAGCGGCGTTTTAAATTTTTTATGGGGGATAGAAATCCACAATACTGAAGTGAAAATAATACAAAGCTACAGTTTTGATAAATCTGAGAACTGAGACAAATTGTTAAGATTTTCTCTTTGGAAAAAAAATTATTGAGATAAAATATAAGAAATCAGCCCTTTGTTTTAAGAGTGGAAAATGTACTTTGAATGACATCTAGTGGTGGATTTGAGTACTGCACTATAACTAGCTCCTTGGCCGCTTGGTGATTTTCAGTTTAAGGGAGAATAGCTGTCAATAAAGGGAAATATTTTGGCATATCTATCATCCTGACTTTCTTGGACTATAAATACCTACTGAGCTTGGACTTTTAATCTCAAGAGCTAGTGGGAGAGAAAGAAAAATTTGACTTCTGAATACATCTGACTGCAGGGAGGTTGAACATTTTGAACACTTGGAACATTGTGGATTATAATCTTGCCTGACTGATAATTTTCAGGATACTTGGGACAAACGATTACTATAAAATATTGCTATAAGGACGGGATTATAAAGGCTATATATAAAGACCAGAAAATTAGAGGAAACTCTGTTCCACTCTTACTGAGACTGGTGATACTAAAGGATTTCTAGGAATGATGCCTCAAGAAAAAACAAATACCTTTAAGAAGGAAATACTCTCTATGCTACAGCAAACTCATCAAAC